ACTTCTGGCATGCTTTCTGTTGTGAACTCGCTGCCACAACCAATGATGAAGACATTTGCATTTTGTTCACCATTTCGGAGTCGTTCATCCACATCTCGACTCCTTCAATTTCTTTGCTAGGTGTTACTCCCTCGCATCTCCAATACTTGGTTTTATACTTTTGAAAAAAAAAAGACATCCTTGGACACGTACGACATACCCATAGCCTTGGTCAAACATGCCATCGTAGACTTGACCAAGCCCACCACAAGGAAAGTCCCTTCATCGGTCTCCTATGACCGTGATTGGTTCTGCAGACCAAGGACTTCGAACATGTTTTCTGTTGTGAACTCTCTGTCCTAAACCTCTGACGAAGACAGTAGGATTTTGTATTTGAGGAATGATCCTTTACGGAGTCGGCCATCTACTTCTTGTGGCTTCAACATCTTTTATCCCTCCTTCCTAGATTTGAATAATATATATTTGAACCCGTATCACGATTTACCCATAGTTTTGGTCAGAATTGGTCATTGACGACTTGTCCATGCCTACTACGAGAAGAGTCCCTACATTGTTCTCCTCCCTCCGGAAACTTCTCACTTTTTCACCAGCAATGTCTTCGACAAGAGCATCAAGCATCCGTTCTGTCGTGTTTCAAATTTCATATAATAAAACTATATCTAATTTTTATAGCCAATGCATCGGTCTGTAAAGACTTACGTTAGGCGCCAATTGAATCATAAAAATAAATATTGCATTTTTCATTTCATAGTTATGCCACATATTGGGCTCCACATATTTATTATCCTTTTAATGCCAGCATTATAGGCAATTTTATCTAGAAGTTGTGACATACATTGGGCGCCAATATATATATATATATATTAAATTTCGCTAGTCAACTCTATTTCTTCTCATTAGAAATCGAAATGTAATTAGTGAGCCACATTGGGCGCCAACTGCGTATATAAAGAAATTACATATATCCCACTATGTGCGTGCTATGACATTTTCTGATTTTTTTGTTTAGAGATTTTAAAGTTTGACACTTTTATATGGTTACCAATATCAGAATGTTGTAATTCGATGTTGTACCCCACGTTGGACGCCATCTGTAGTTCAGTAGATATAATATAAAAACATCAATATTTAATCTAGTTCAAGTGGTTTCACAAGGAAACTATTTTTACTTTATATTATTAATACATTTGTCTTTGTGGACTTTAACTGACCTTCGTTGGGCGCCATATCTTCATTTTGTTATATGCATAATAATATTTAAACCTAATAAAACAATATTATTTCCTAGCTTTAGTAGGTGACATTGGATTCTTGCCCTTCATTGGGCGCCAATTGTACATGTATTTAAAATATGTATATTTTTTATTTATGTGTTGGCAAGCTTACCTAAGTTTAAATTTGTCAAGCCTTTTTTTATTAATTTATAATGAAACATATTACTATTATATTACTAGTAAATGAAATCTATTTTCCCTTCTCTACATTGGGCGCCATCTGCAAATGCATACATATATTAATAAAATACATAAATATAGGCATTTTTTACTTAGCTGTTATAAAATTCTTCAAGTTCATTGGTTTACCATGACCTGAATATTGCAATGTTGCGTGTTGTTGTCCCCCCAAGTTGGGCGCCATCTGTATCTACAAGTATTATGAATAATTTATGTAAAAGTAATAAATCAATATGTTATCTTCCGTATTTCCCAAATATTTATCAACAATTTTTACAAACCAATTTTGTTACCTTGCCCTGTATTTTTGTGGATTGATAATAACCATGAAAAAAATTCTTACAAAATTTGTCATTGACATTAATACCATTTTTTTCTTTGCTTATCGTGTCATACACACATTTTGTCATACAAAATGATGTTCTAAACTTTGATTATGTGAACTCTTCGATCGTATACCGGCGAATCTTATCAACAATGCCATAAATAAAATATTGATAAAAATATCAACTAATTGGCTTTTAAACGTAATATTTTAGGAATTTTTTTTGTTTATCAAAAAATTAAATAAAAATTTATATTGTTTTTATATTATTTAATAATTTTATTTTATGTTTTTTTCTATCCTTCCAGGGCGATTATATAAAACATCCTGTCCTATACGAATTAAGCTACAAATATGGTTTCACAGACAATTTACCCGAAAGCGGCCTGCCCAGCCGCTTGGAGGAGATCAAAGAAGCAATACGACGAGAAATACGAAAAGAGTTGAAAATCAAAGAGGGCGCTGAAAAACTGCGCGAAGTTGCCAAAGATCGTCGTTCGTTGAACGATGTTGCTGCCATTGTCAAGAAGAGCAATAATAAAATTGCCGAACTGAAATCGGAACTGCAAGAATTGGAATCACAGATTCTATTGACGCAGGGCAATGATCGAGGTAAGTGAACACCAGAGCACCCGATAAAACAATTGTTTTTTGTGTTCTCAAACATAAACCATTTAATGGATTTGATTTAATTGACAATTTGATTTGTCCGGAGGTGATGAAGAAATATTTGTATTGGCCATTTTTGGGGATGTTGTGAAAATACCTCCTCCCCCCCTCAGTGATGGAATATATGGTAGTGGCTATTGCCGTCGGAGCACAGCACCTATTTTTTGTTGTTATGACCATTTGTAGTGGAACAGCCAAAAAAAGCGGCTGTCGTATTATGAAAGCCCAACAAATATTTCTACACCGCTATTGTTGGTGTTGTTGTTTCTTAACACTATTCATGTTGTTGTAGCTATTTATTATTTTTTTGGTAAAATATTTCTAGAACTGGTTTACTCCATAAGTAGCCAAAATCAATCAAATCATTTTGTTATGGCCTGTTTGTAATGATTAAATTGTTTTTGTTGATGCTGTTGCGGATTTTTTTTATTTTCTGACACGATTATGAGGTGTTAAATTACAAATGACGAAAGTGTTAATTTCTCACGATTTTTCTTTTTGTTGGAGGGGGAAATTAACAGATAATGTTAAAAATTTTTGGAAGCATGTAAACAATGTTCAGTCCTCCCAAAAACTATATATGTGTATACGCTGTATATTTGTCTATAAATAATATTTTATATAAAAATTATTGACCTTCACGTTTCATTTCGCTGATGTTGGAGATGGTGTTGTTGTTGTTGATTTTTCCGCTTTCACACATTTTTTCACACTTTATATATATATTTTTTTAATTTTTATTTGTTTTGGAACCAATCCGAAAAAATCTGTTAATGCTTTTTGTCTGCCTTAAAGTCTAAGGGGATCTCTGTATTGTTTTTTTTTTTATAAAAATGGGATTAAGTGCATGTTGATCGTCCACATAATTTTCAGGGGGATTAGTGAAAATATGAAAAAAAATTTATTCTTGCAATGAACAGTTGACCCCTGGAGGGTCAAAGAAGTATTTTTATGGATGAGAGGTCTTTACTGCATCAAGGTCTTCCCCTAGTGTTGTTTCGATAGAACATTTTATGAGATCTTCCCATAAAAGACGTGAAAAAGGGAGAGATTAAAACGATCTTCATTAGGAGGAGTGCCAAAGGGTCTTCATTAGGAGGAGAAGGCTATAGGGCCAAAGGGTCTTCTCCTACAAGACCCATGTAGATTTCCGGTAGAAGGCCTTAGTGTTAATATTCTTCACAAAAAAGAGCAGACATGTATTTCAAAAGTTCTCTGTAAGGAAGATTTAAAAATTCTTCATTGCAGAGGCCTAATAAGATATCCCGGTCAAAATTTTCCTTAAAAAGTCCATTCTATTTTCTCAGAGGGCCTCATAGAGATCTTCTGTAGAAGATAATTTTTTCTGTTAAGTTGAATATTTTCCTTAAGTTCTTTCTGTAGGGAGGATCTGAAGATTCTTCCTCAAGCTTAAAGACGATTTTGTGACCAATGTTGTTTTTTAAGACTGAGAAGATAAATATTTTCTCAGAGATCTTAGGCCCTCAAAGAGACCACATTGTCTTCTGAAGAAAATTTGAAATTCCGACTAGTCTTTCTAAAGTTCTCTCTGTAGGAAAGTCATACAGATTTTCCCAGGAGAAGGTCTGAAGAAGACTTTTCGAATTTTTTTTTTTTTTTTTTTTTTTTTGTTAAGAAGATCTAAACGTCTTCACTCCTCTCTAAGAAAAACAGATTCTAGCTGAAGATTCTTCCTATGGGATACCAAAAGAAGGCTTTTCCCTAAGAAGACCTAAATGTCTTGTTTATCTTCTCCGAAATTAACAATCCCATAGAGACCACAGTGCCTTCTGAGGATAACAGGTTTAGAAGGTCTTCTAGAGAAACGCAGGAGGTATTCTGTATATGTTGGAGGTCTGCCAAGTCTTCCTAATGTTCTCTCTAGGGAACATTTTTACCCAAGCAGGTGTAAAGGAGGCATACTGGATTTTTCTTTAAAACTATCTAAAGATCTCATTCTCCTTCATAATATAAGAACAAGAACATAAAAACCCCTTGAGGCATTTTCCTTGTAGACCAGGAAGTCTTTGATATGGGAAAACCTTCTTAGAAAACCAGAAAGTCTATTCATTAGAGGGGACCGATAGGTCTTCCTCAGGCAAGACAAGTGATTCATCTTCATTCCTAACTAGAAGGACTTCTTTTTAATGACAATAGGGTCTTCTTCATGAAAATCGGTTTATTATTCATAGAAGACCGCAAGGTTTTCCTATATAGAAGGCAGGAAATCTATTACATAAATAACATCTTCTGAAGGTCTCTAGATAGAAGACCAGAAAATCTTCACCCAGAGCTCTTCTTCATTGACGTCGAAAAGTGTATCTTTCTAGATGTCTACGAGGTCTTCTTCAAAGAAGAGTAGAATTTTGTCTTCATAAAAGAGCAAAGGTCTTCTTCAATAAGACTAGAGGGTCTTCATGAAGAAGGCTAGAGGGAATAATTCATGGACGACCATGAGGTCTGCTTATGAGAAGATAAGGAGGTTTTCATAGACGCCCAGAGGTTCTTCTTCATAGTAGCTCAGAGTGTCTTCTTCATAGAAACCAAGGAGGTCTTATTAATAGAAAACCTGGTACTCTTCTTCAAAAAATACAAGACACAGAAGTCTTCAGAATCTCTGGAGGACTTCTACTGAAGTTTTCATAGTACAAAGACCACAAGGCTTTCCAAAAGTTATTAATAGATGACCAGAAGAACGGGAGCCCTTCTACATAGACCTGGAGGTCTTCTACTGAAGTTTTTCTTTCTCTTCTTTAAAATACCAGCAGACCTAAATGTAGTCTACAGAGAATACCAGAAGGTCTTCTTGTCAAAATATAAAAAGGTTTTTATCAAAGAAAAATAAAACGCCTTCTCATTAACAGGTCTTTCTTATAGAGGTTCAAGAGTTCTACTCATAGAAACCAGAAGGTCTTTGTCGTAAAGACCAATATTGAGTGTTTTTTCTACGCGGAAAACCAAAATTTCTAGTATCCCAGGAGGATTTCTACACTATAAATCAGATTGCTATATTTATAATAGACCAGGCAGTCTTCTTCGTATAACCAGGAGGTTTTCTTCGAAAAACATCAGAAGGTGTTCCCCATAGAAAACTGGAGTCTTTTTTCATAGAACATCTTTTTAATAGGGATCTTGAGAACTTCTTCATAGAATCTTGCAGAGCATTTCCATAGAATTCTAAAATATCTTCCCCCATTCTGTCTTCATTTTTTAATTCTTCAATCTTATTGACCCACTGCTTGAATTTCCACGAATGAAAAACTCGATTTCCCATTAACCCATAAAGTTACCAAATACCGAATGAGATTCATTAAGGATGAATAATAGCCTTCCTGCATTTCATGCTACGAAATTTATTACCCCCAAACAAATGATTTGCATTTCATTAGAAGTTCCAAGAAAATTTCTTGTGACATTTTAAACATTTTCTCAACTCAATGGCCCCCTTATATCCCAGAGGAGCAGAGACAAAATTTCCTCTGTAACCCAAAAAAAAAAAAAAAGAAAACACCTAAAAGAAAAAAAAAAAACATGTAAATGGACCAATTTAGTTGGCGCCGCCATTTGTTGTTATTTAGAAATATTTTCTTTTACAAAAGACAAATGTTTTATGTTTTAACAGAACAGAAAATTCTGCACATATAGAGGCACACTCAAACAAACATACACACTCAGCCAACATGTTAAATATAGGAGGGTGGGTGGCAAATATGTTGTCTTCTTGTTGCTGTTCTTTTTTCGTCTACATTTTAGCAAGGTCAGACAATTGGCCATTCATGAAAATTAAATTAAAAACAGAAACACCATACACAACAACAACAACATGAATATTATGATAGATGTATGTAATGAACATGCTTTTTTAGAAAATTGAAAATGCGTATATTTATATATGTATGTATGTTTGTAAATAAAATTGTAGTTTTCATAAATTGTGCCCTTGTCGGGACCAATATAAATCATTTATTTATGAACCGATTTGAAGTCTAATTAAGTAAATAAACAATAGATCATTCAAAATTGACTGCCATCCGCTGCTGCTACGACCCTTTGAGATTTCCCATTCAAATGAATGGTCCGTACAAAATCGATTTGTCTGTCTGTTTCAAGGTATTCAAATTGAAGTGGACATTAAATGATTTCCCATTGAATGTTGCTCTGATTTTTCGTAAGGATTCCCTTTTCAGTTTCATTAATATTGAATTATTTAAATATAAATGAACTTTAACATATTCTATGAATTGAACTTTTAAGGGCTGACGCGGAGGTGACCGTTCATTACTAAAACAAAAACATATATGTGCTATTATTTTCAAATGCCAACGAGGTCGGTATAGCAGGGTATTATTAAGAATAGTTCGTTATTTTTTTAAAAGAAGGCGGGTTCCTGAGCTCGAATAAAATTTGGTTGTTCAGTTGTTCTACAAGTTGGGGTGGAATTTTTAGTATTCGAAGAATGTGAATCTACATGAGAAATCTTCTTAGCATCTACAGTTTTTAATTAACAACAGAAATATCGGCACTTCTTTCAAAAAATAATCCGCCTTCCTTTCTATTTTATAATCACCGGTTATTGTGTTCTTCTAATAAAGAATCATAAGTGCCCAGGATATCTTATAAATGATCGCCTTCTTACAGCAGAATATGATGTATATTTTATAGAGGGATGGAATATCTTCTCAAAATTTATAAAAGATCTGAAACGTTTACTTATGAAACATTTTAGAGAATATCTAAATAATCTGATGAATAATGAAATATTCAAAAAATGACCTTCATAGATTGTCTTATTACAGAATAGTATAATGAATCGTTTATAGAACAACAGAATATCTTCTAAAAGTTTCTAATAAAAGATCTGAACTTCTTAAGAAAGAATTCTAATACAAATCTAAACTAAATTATAGATAAATACCTAGGCGACCTTTCAATTACAGTCCTACGAAGTAGAAAACCACCAGTTTTTTTTCATATAAAACCACCAGGTCTATTTCATGGAAGGTCCAGCATATCTTCTTCATTAAAGATCAGAAGCTGTTATTCATAGTAGACGTCCAGCATAGAAAACCAGAAGGCCATATTCATTGAAGATCAGATCATCTTCATTAGTGGATAGTGTGTCAGATCACAAACCTATGGTTTCCGGGTTCGAATACGAGCCGGAGAAGAACAAATTATTTCAAAGTGGTTTTAAAATATTTTTAAATAGAGTCTTACACCATCTCCCGATGAAATGCATACGAAACCACCTGACATTCTCATAGGAGATATCGCCACCCTGTGGAAAATTGCAGTACTAATTGCAGTCCATAAAAGATTTGTTTCTATGCAACGATAGGCGATAGCCTCAGATTTTCTATGCATACTTAAGAGCTGAAAATTTGGGAATACATGGTCGGAAAATCGGTGTTATGAAATGTCTGCAATATAAAATTAAACCTCTAATTTTCAAAAAGAAGAATCTGTTATGAAGACCACTGATCCTGACTGAAAATAATATTAAAAAAATATTTACCTGGCCTATTTTCGAAAGAAGACCATTTTCCATCCTGTAAAAACGAAAATTTTGTTATTCTATAAATATTAGGCTTTATCTTTAACTACTCTAGAATTTGGGGCAGTTCTATTGAACAATCGCAGAAAGGTAAAAAATATATCTACCTTATCAAGTACCTTCTATAGGATAACGATATCTGCTGGACTTTTTAGAAGGAAATTCCTATGGTTTCGTGGCTTTTTATTTCATCTTAGTTATTGATCTACTGTAGTCCTAGTTTATAATCCTGCCATCTATCGTTGCCTAGAAACGATGACTCTTTGAATTTAGGGCGGTGGTTTGGATCCTTGCTGATTTAGTATTGTAATTTTCCGTTGGGTGGCGCTATCTTCTGCCATTCCTATTTTGTGTTCTACTTATGTATTGATCTTCTCACCAATGTATATACCTTATATTCTTCTCTAGACTAAGAATCTTCTGATCTTCCTTAAAAGTAAAAATACTCTGCTTGTTCTCCTTCGGTCTTTCTAAGAATGTATACATTCTGTAAGGAGAAGGATTCTTGTATAATAATATATTCATCTTATGTACAATGGAAAATCTTCTGGGCCTCCCTAATAAAAAAATCGGCATTTGACATTACTTCCAAACTTTTATGGCATGATTTGTTTTCTGTCAATCCCACCCTCGTATTATAGCTCTAATAATGCCGCTACTCTGTATATACGGAAAGAAAAATCAAACCAAACAAAAAACTTGGTCGATTGCCAAGAATTGGTTCAATTCATTAGAGATGAGATAAGATGATCTGATGCTGCTGATGATGACGACGTTGTTGTTGCTGCTCTGCTCCTACAATTCCGCTACCATGTTGTTGATATTCGTTTATAATTATTGGCTTCGTTGGTTTAGTGTCATACAACAAGAAAGACACACATAACCACCTCCTATTGCTAGAGAAATGGGTGGGAAAGACCCGCACAACCGAAGTTGCGGCAGAGAATCTCTGAGATAAAGAAAATTGCCTTCCTTGTTTTTAATTTTTTTCTTTTGCACCGAAGAGATTTTATGCAAAGATATAACTCTATCATTTAGGAGGGTAAAATCTAAACAAATTCGATACAGAGGCATGAAGCGATAGATAAACCACATGTGAAAACTTTGTGACACAACCCGGCAGTAGTTTTAATAAAGACCTGTCAGCTACCTAACGCTCCCTTTGAAGATATTTACTTCATCATTTTCCTCCCTTCAATATTTGACTTTGTCATGGAGGAATGTATGGATGGATCTATTCAGAGTGGCATATGTTACATTGTTGATGGGATCCATATCATTATTTGCGTTTCATTTTTTTCTCAGGTCCATAATTGTTGTCTGACAAAAAAAAAAATTAAAAACGAATTGAATTGCATCATCACACCAACCAGGCAGCTATTCAGGCCGTCCGCCACGACAATGTGTGGCATCAATTGTCTGTTGACTTCTTCACCGCCTCCACCACCCTCTCAATTTAACATTTGGTTGATGGGACATCAGACAATCATCACCTTATTCATATTTTTATGATGATTCCAACCATCCATGCATTCCACCATTCAGCCATCATTCATCGATCCTTGGCTGTCTTTCTTTCTGCCCCCGTTTGTTGTTATTAAAGAAAGAAAGAAAAAACTGAAACTGTTGTTGTCGTTGATAAACTTTGACTGATAAAGAGGTTGTCAGCGAAAATCATCATTCTTGTTATTTATTCCGTTCGTCAGCCAGTCTGTCAGCCAACCGGCCCGGCAATCATATTACAATGTGTGGAATATGCCAATGGGTCTGATTATCATGATGATCATCATCAGCATGAACATGCTCATGTTCGTTCGGTTGGTGCCATACCGGAAATTAAAAAAATTCAATACGGCGCACACACATGGCAGTCTGGCTGGAGAAGATAGGCAGGCACCTATAACTGTATGTTATGTTTCCTTCCATAGATTGAATTGAATTAATGGAGCCACTGGAGGCTTCCGTCTTTTTTCCTTCTTCTTCTTCTATATTCAACTCCCGTTCCGTCGCCCTCCAGTATTTATTTTGAATTACCATTTGTTTGATTTCTTTCGAAAGAGGAAGCTAAACCAGGTTAACAATTCACAGACCCCTGTTTACTTTCACACATTGAATGTCAGGGTCAACCCATAGACGAAATTTATCCAGTTTATGGCGTTGTAGAAATGTCATGCATTAGATGTCAGGAAATCCGATGACTTTAAAAAGGGTTGGACACATTACAATAATAATGAGGTTTTGTTTTCTTTAAAAGAAAACATTGATACTTTCAATGTCACTACGAACACGGAAAAAGATAAATAAATCGGAAATTGAAAAAGCTTTCTTCGGTCAGCCACCACAATTCAGAAATTGTTAATCTAAGAAAATAATCAGTATTGAAGGTATTATTTTTTTCAGAAACATGCAGAAACATGATTACGATAATAAGTTGAAGGCGAAATTTTATTGACAACACTTTACAGAACCAATCAGGATGGTTTGGAAGTTCCAAGTTCGGGTGAAGGCGTTGATCCAGAAATCCATAAATAATGCCCAGAATATATTATTATTTCGGTTATTGTATTAAATCAAATAACGGCGATTTAAAACGGCTTATATAATATGGGCGTATGTGTCTATTGTACAATTGTCTTCTATGTTGTCCTGCGTTTACGGATCAAATCTGATCCGCTGTTCACATAATTTTAGTTAGTTTCAAAAACTATGGTATAGAGGTGGTGCAGTCTTCTTCGTTTTAAATTTTGGTATAAGAATACTTGAGGTCTAAATCGATAAGTCACCATTTTAAAGGAAATAAAGATCTGAGACCTCTCAGACCTTCAATCTTCTTGAAAAAATACTTCTGATCTGGGTCTGCTCTTAGGAGACTTCGTAGCTTTCTACTGTATGTTAGGGAACAATTATTGGTGTTCTATGAGAGCCTAACAGAAATTTAATGACAACATATATTGATGTTTTATGAGATTGTTTATCTTTAGAAAATACATCCTTGTCTTCTGGGAAAAAAACTTTCAGATCTTTAACAAGAACACCTTTTGAAATTACATGACAGGATATTGACCCATAAAAAGAATGTTGAGTACCTCTCGGATGATTCCTTTTGTTTTTTTTTTTCTGTAAGAATGCCTCCACAAATGACCCTTTGAAAAAGTCCTGTTCAGGACTGTTAGAATTGGTATATTTCTCGAATAGAAGAGTCCCAGGAGTATATTGGATTAAACTTCTACTTTATTTTCTAATATTTTAGTAAGGCGTATCTAAAGGAGACGGAAAATTAGCCTGAGTTCTCCGGTCCTTCTGGTCTTTTAGAAAACAGAAACAATGACTGCTCGAATATAGGGCGGTTATTTGGGTCCTTGCTGATCTAGTATCGACACTTTCCACTGAGTGGCGCTATCTTCTGTCATTCCTATTTTATGTTCTACTTATGTATTGATGTTGATACCGATGTCGGTTATTTGAATATCAGGCGACTTCAATTAAATTTTTGCCTCTAAGCTCCATATTCAATACCACTCTGGATTCTATTGCTTTCGATCAGCCGTACCAGAAATATTATGATGTGTAACATCGGCTATTCCCTTTGAGAGGCCGTCGGAAATTTCTAAAGCAACATCCAGATCAGACATATAGATGGCTGTGTTTTGTTTTCTTGGAGCCACTGTGGGTGGTATATGTTGCTATGTCATGGGATTTTGACAGACATATAGAATTTTGATTTATGCGGATGGATGGTTCATTTCATATTTCTTATTTTTGTTGGCACATTTTCCCCATTCTCTGACGATGATGTCCACATTGTTTATATAAATTTTGACATGAATGTTAAAGGCAAACGTCAAACAGACATGACTTTAAAACTAGTGGCTGGTTGAATGAAAGCTATCAGATAACAGCGGATATAAATAATGCCTGCCCCGCTTAAAGGTCACAGCAGTGACGCAAAGGGATACACTATTTATAGAATTTAATATTGTTACAATATCATTGAATCCTTTTTTGTTGTTATCAATTAATTAAAATAATATTCATTTGTTTGTTTACCTTTGCAGATATCCTCTCACCCACCACACCCAATGCCAGTCTGGGCGGCAATTCCATTGACGGCAAAAGCGGTGAAGGAAACGGTCTCATCTCCGGTGGCCATGAACAGCTTAGCGCCAACGATAAACTACTCCTTTCGCTGGAGAAACAACTCAACATTGAAATGAAAGTGAAAAATGGCGCTGAAAATATGATCCAATCATTGCAGAGTGGCCACTATGGGCGTGATAAAAAACTCCTCGGCGAGGCACAACAAATGCTAACAGATTCTAAGGCAAAAATTGAATTCTTACGTTTGCGTATACTGAAAGTAAAGCAAAACAAAGAGCATGCCTATAAATTGTCCCAACAAGTGGCGGCAATGGATTCCGCCGATAATGGTGGCAGTTGTGGTCCGGGCAGTGTGGGTGGCCTACTGCCGCAGCGTTTGGAAACCTCACTGGAGGAGAGAATCGAAGAATTGCGGCATCGTTTACGCATCGAAGCCGCCGTTGTCGATGGAGCGAAAAATGTGATACGCATTTTACGAAATAGTAAAGTGCCAGATAAAAAGGCTTTGCAAGAGGTAAGTGGATGGAAAAAATGTTCGACTATTTATGATTATTTTAGTTAATATACTCTTGGTTTCTTTATTGTTAGTTTTAAGTTTTAAGTTTTTTTTTAATGATTTTAATGATTCATGTAACATGATGAGTTGCTGGCTGGCCCAGCCATTAATGATGACTGTCGGTCAGTCATCGTTGGTATTCTTGTGTGGCATATTTTTTTTTTTAGTTTTTATGTTGTGCCAACTGCAAACTTAAATATCTGCCAGAATACTTCTAAATATATTTGACCTGTTTTTCTTCTTGAGTTGTTAATGCTAATTACTTTAATGTTAAAAACACACACGCATACAAACATACCTACGTACAAATTTTTGCATTATGGGAACACAATTTTTGGGTTAATTTATTTTACAGTGATATTTAAGATACACAGTGGTACACTTTTTTTAAATACAGCCAAAAACGCTTATAACGAAGGGCAAGAGATGGGCGAAACTCTTCTCAGGACTATTAAATTTTGTCATAATCTTTATAAATGATTATGTTTAAATTAAAAGTGTGGAGTTTTATTGGAAATAGTTCTGGCTATGAATTAGTTTTATGTCTAAATTGCGGGTAGAGTTTCTGTTCGGTGTGGAGTTGCATTGTAACAGTGTGCCTGCCCCATAGAAAGTTCTGGTCCTCATGCAAGTGAGTGATAATGTCCGAATACGTGTGATAAATTATAGCTACTCTTCAGTGTGGGAGCGTTGGATGACGCCATATATTTGCTGGTGTTTAAGAACCGTGGTTAAGGGTTTGGATCTATGCTTATTTAGAGTAGATATTTGTATATATTTCTGAGTGACGCATAGGGATTCCAAAAATCATCGCCGCCATCTTACCCGATTAGGAGATTGGTCTTCAGTTGACTGACCTCAGTGATGGGGCTGACATCTATCGTTGATTAGACTCAACGCCTGCTTGAATTTTAGTGCAATGGTTCGAATCCATGTTTATTTAGTGTTGTCATTTACCCCTGGGTGGCGCTATCTCCCGCCTCATGTGTTGATCTGGTGGGGTTTGTAAGCCTCTTTATTTATATATCAGCATTAACATAAATTTTCTCCTTTACGGGACCCAACTATTTGGACTTATTTTATTTCTCCTTTTAATTCTCTTGGGAGCATAGGTCTTCTCCAAGTCATTGCATCGGTTTGTTCATCTGTTAGTTTAGTCATTTACTACAACCTGTACTATCAAATGGGGCTATCATCTATTGTTGCATAGAAACAACGCCCACCCCCCCCCCCCCCCCCCCCCCCCCCCCCCCCCCCCCCCACCCCCCTTGGATTGTGTACAGTGGTTGGGGTCCTTGCTTGTTTAATGATGTCATTTTCCTCTGGGTAGTGCTATCTCCTGTCATTCTTATTTTGTGTTATCCTCAGGCGTTCATGTCGATGCAGAGGTTTTTTATTTAAGGGAACCCCACCCATGATGGCGGGCATGATAACTCCTCACTGGAATATCGGAATCCGAAAATTCCAACGGTGTTAGAAAGAGTACATGTCTGTTGTTCTAGGTTATGATACTGTCGTCTATAGTTGTCTAGTAACAATGGACAGTGGTTAAAGTATTTGCTTTTTAAGTATTACCATTTTCGTCTGGGTGGCGTTTCCTACTTCCATGGGTTTATAATAATTTTATTTCTCTTGTTACTCCTCTTGAGAGAATAGGACTTCCACAAAGCATCGTCGCTATCTTACGCGAATAGTCATTGTGTTAATTTCGTTAATCATTTGTCTTTTATTCCTGCTAAGTGGGTGATTTATATGATGTAGGCTGCCCTAGCTGACTGGGCTGCCACCTATCGGTTCCTAAAATCTATGTCTGATTGAATTATAATCAGTGGCTTATTCAGTACTATTATTTTCCTCTGTGTGTCGCTATCTTCTGCAGGCTTTTTCGGAAGCATATTATCTAGAGTAGGATCCTTTTTCCGAATATTCAAATCCCCATTTAAAATATTTCCTATCATTCGCGATGTGGCAGTAATATATCGTCGTATAGAGACAACGTATTTTTGAATTTTGTACAGCGGTTGGTGTCCTTGCTTATTTAGTATTGTCATTTGACCTCTGGGTGGCGCTATCTCCTACCCATCCTATTTTGCGTTGTCCTCATTTGACAATGATTTGGTGCATTCCATCTGGAGTGGGATACAACCGCTTTCGAAGTCGACCTTTTTTTTAATTACTAAAATTCTCATTGACATTTTCATACTAATTTTAATACATTTATACCACTTTGACCCACTGTACATTATTTGACAAAAATCTATGCCAAATTATTTTTTCCCTCTGTTCATCTTGGTGACTTTGGGTGTGCTTTCCCTCAAAAATATATTCCTTGTATAACAACTTATTTGGCCCTGCATATGTTTATGTACTTAAAGCAGAAAATCTCCTTCATTGTTTGCTTATTTATGTGCTGTGTTGCTGCTGCACACGCACACATATTTTCGAATACTTTGTATGCAAGTTAATTACGTCAACCCCCAATCCGCCGACCATCGCCAACCGAGTGATCAGTCAGGCCGACAGTTCGTCCACTTTTTTTATGAATTTTTATTGCCACCCGATCAACAGGGTGCCGTCAGACTGTCTGTTTATAATATGGTTCGTTTTCGTAATTTGTTGCTGTTTTTATTTGTTTCAAACAAGAAGCAGGGAGATCCCTTTGCTTGGGATATGATGCATTCATCCATCCGAACAAATTTTCTTCTTGCAGATGACCCATATTTTTTGTGGTGCATCCAACCACATTAAACTGAATATTTTTTGTTGATTTGTTTATTTTTGCATCTAAATCCTATTGGTGGTATTTCTACATGTCTGTCGGTATGTTTGTATATTTTATGGGTTCTTGTTGTCGAAATCTTTTCGGCCTCGAAGTAATTATGATTATTGTTAACTGCAACAACAATAACACAAATTTAATTTTAGTTTAGAAAAAATAAATATTTTTTTTATTGGCTGCAAATGAGTTATGCACTCAATTGGTGAACTATTATTGCAGTGATGTGATGTTCTATCTTCTCAAAAAATGAATGTTCTGGAATTTTTGTACCGTCGTCGGAGAAACATAAAAATGTTCAGATTTTTTTTTCGTTATTACCTGTTAACATCTTTTATGACTTTTGCAAGCAATGTTCTTGCAAAATAATAGTTGCGTAGGAACAAAGAAAATTCAGAACATTTCATGTGCCAAATTCCAATTATTGAGGACTTGGCATAGAATTAGTGTTTGGTTGAAATTGAGCGGAATATATGTTTACAAAGGAAACTTAAATTTGTAGGCTCCCATCTACCAAACTCTAGCCAGTTACTTTTAAGATGAAAAATATATATATTCTGATCATATACTCCAAATGTAAAGATTTGCACATAACCAATAATCCAGCCAAATGAGCGACCGAATTCACAAATTTTTTGTGACTCCCCTATTTTTTCTTGCAGGTGTGATTATTTTACCCACCTTTATTACCTTCTAATATGTTCCCTATAGATTTTTTTATTTGCCTTCTTTGCTCATTTTTACCGCTTTTACTTTTCTTTATATATCTCTTAATTAGAAATCTCTCTTCCGTAGTCCCTTAAAAAGTCTATGAAATCCGTAAATTCACCACCAATGAATATCAAATCGTGTCTCTCTCTCCAAAGTACAATCAAATGCCGGACCCGGGGCCATACGAAAAAATATTGTGTGAGTTTTTCTTGTTGTTGAGGAACAGATATTTTCCGGTTGAAAAATAAATAAGCAGACAGCACACAACCAATTACCAGGGTTGCCATTGTAAAAATTGTTGTAAATATGAAAATATTACAATCGGAAATTAAATCTAATTAATAAAAAAGGAAATCTTTATAGATGCGCTAAAATAATCATCTACGTATCTATATAGGGAGTGAATCCCGATGCTGCCGGGTTTTCCAATGTGAATTTTTATAGTGCTATTCACTTTCGGTATGTTCGAGATTCCTACAAAAGATAGATGGCAGCTCAATTACCTAGGACAGGTTACATCAGACCAATTTTCACCCAGGGAAAATGTCAGCACTAAATAAAGAAAACAAGGACCCCAACCACTGCATAAAATTAAGGGGCGTTGTTTCTAGGCAGCGATAGATGGCAGCCCCATTACCTAGGACAGACCACAGCTGACCAATAAGCTACTTGGCAGAAATATAAAACACGAGAAGAAATGATGAAAAGAGATTTTTTGGACATATCCCTCGGACTACCTAAAATTGAGAGATATTGATCTAATTATATTTAATTTTGTTCCTTGCGTGATATTCCGTGAAGAATATATAAGAATTTATTTTTCGTCGTACCGATGCGAAATTGGGGTGTAATCAGGACAAGAAACCAAATGGAATATAGAACCAACATTTTATTAATTTAGTGGTGGAGATAACAAAAAACCACGAAGTGGAAATGAATTTAATTTTCGAGCAAATCGGATACTCCCTTCGAGATCTCCATCTTTGAAATTGATTAAATTTTTTCAATTCTATGTACGATCGTGCCTTCAAAATTATTACTAATTAAAATTTTGCTGCTAAAAACCATTTTTCCGACCAATTTCAGCGTTTTTACGGACCGACCACCCTGCTCATTAAACACGATGTTGCAAAACAACACATTGGGAAATTATTAGATTTTCTTCGTTTTTGTTTTCTCTAGTTTGTGTAAACAACACACCATATTCTGATCTGCACACCCCAATCCGCACATACACACATCTTAACAATAAATGTGTACCGACTGGTACCGATCGTTGCTCTAAAAATCATTTCATTGTGTATAGTTTTGGGAGTAAAGAACAACAGACCCCCAAAAACAAAAAATTCAACACCACCACTTCCTCCATCACACATCTGAGAGCGAGAGAAAAAGAAAAGGCTCCACCGTAACGGCCGAAAAACTTTGGCGGACATTCGGAAACAGATTTTTTTGTTTGTTTTCTTCAGTTGAACGAGAGACGTGGTATTGTTCAAAACGTTCACACAAAAATCAGCCA